TCCCTGTGCCAACCCTCACATGTTTCTTCTTTTTCTTTTTTCAAAAAAAGCAATTTACCTGAAGCCTTGCTTGGATTAAGTTGATAGGACATGTTCCATTCCTCAGCCAACAACCTGTTATCTGCAGGAGAAATGCAGGCCCCAAATACCCTGAAGCAGGTAGACTTCTGTGACCCTTACACAGACCAGATAATTGCCCCTAACCATAAAATCTGTAAGAACAATTAGAACCAGTCAGCACGGGCCAAAGTGACCTGGAGTTGTCATGGCAGTGGGAACTTCAAAGTCTAATGTCATCCTGCTGTCAGTCAAAAGTCAAGAGGTGGACCTGTAGGAGGTGGGCAGGGGTCTGGGGAAGCTTCCCTGGGACTCCCCAAACACTGGAAAGAAGGGGAGGCATGCTTCCTTCCTTCTAAGAAGACCCACCACTCTCCCTTGAGAGTGTCCCCTTTTCCCTTTCTCCATCCCCTCTAATATAAACTCAAGCCTGCTTACTCGAATCTGAGCAACTTGAAATCTTTCTGGGATGATTGCAAAACCGAGGTGGGAAAGGACAGCCATGGCGCCGCAGCTCTGGGCAGACCCACGCTCTGTAACAGTAGAATCATTTAAAGAGCCATGTGTTGGCCACCTTCCCTCAGACCCCAATACATACAGTGGTCAAGCAGCATTGCAGCAATAAAGCATTCTCTTTTTAACCATGGGAGCAAAACAGGAATCAGACCATTTTTCTAATTTTTTTCCTAAGGAGCTGTCAGTAGAAATTATGCTGGTATGTCTTCTTCAGGAGTACRAGAGGGAAGGGAGAACAAAAAGATCCCAGCAAGAAAAAGAGGAGAACTGACTTACACCAGTACTAGGCAACAAACATGTGTCTTCCGACATCGAACCCAGACACGAAGTCCAGCACTGTCTTGCCCTGCGGCAGTGCCAGAAGCAAAATGCAGCAAATCCCAGATCAGTGAAGTTTCACAAGCCGAGGGGACCTAATAGGCAGAAAAGTAGTCGGARCCATGGCACAGGCCTGTAATGCCAGCAAGGAGGCTGAGGCAGAAGGATAGCAAGTTGGAGGACAGCCTCAGCAACTTAGTGAGACTCTGTCTCAAAATAAAAAAAATAAGAAGAACTGGGAGTGTGACTCAGTGGTAAAGCCCCTCTGGGTTCATTCCCCAGTACCTCCCCCTCCAAAAGGCAGAAAAGTCTATGAGCTGCCTGTAGACCTCACTGTCGGGAGGCTGTCCATTGGGTTTCACCGAATGGAACTGGATTGAAAAAGCTCAAATTGGAAGGACTAGCAAGTTCCTCCTGCAGTGTAGGTCRGAGTGACTCACCCAGTGAGGACCCTCCGTTCTCCCAGACACAGATTCAGGGTACCTCCGCCACAGCTGGAAAGAGGAAGGGAACCCCAGGACCAAAAAGGTGTCCCAGCAGTTGCAGGGAATCTGATTGATTTTTGTGAGTCCAGATGGCCATRTGCTGCAGCCAGGTTGTGACCAGGACCTGAATTTAGCTACTAGCACTTGACTGCCRCTGACTCTTGGTCAAGAAAGTAGAGGGGCTGAGTGCTATGGCTCACTTAGCGGAATTCTTGGAATTCCTACCACTTGAGGAGGGTTAGTTCACATCTTATCACCACAGTAATAAGTAATTTATTTATGTGCCATTTATGTGCCCAAGACAAGATGTGGCACTGCAAAACAAGACCCATGTAGAGCCTCGCGTCTACACTGCTAACTGTGAGTTACAACCTTCTACTATTGGAAAAGGAACCTCAAAGCACAACTAAAAGGAGTAAAGCAAGAAATTTTTCCCATTTTATACAATTGCTGTCCCTGCCCTAAAATCAGAATCTTCTAGGAGCACTCATAGTTTAACACAGTGAATTCTGTATCCTTTGATCTCATTGGCACCAAACTCAAGTCTAGACCACAGATTTAACCTGTCCTGCCTCAGCCTTGTCCTCACAGCCCTCCCTGGGCAACAGCAGAGAGGAGAAACTACTGGTCCCTGTGGTTCTTCTATCACGCTGAGATAGGGATTTAGGAAAATGAGAGAAACACTGAATCTTAAAGGCAACACTCACAAGCCATTGAGATGTAGAAAGCATAGCAGTAAATCTTGAGCAACACACCCTTGGCCCATGCCCTTGTAAAAAATGAGAGAAATATGCAAGGGCAGGGGAAACTGGTGGGGAAATTGTGCATCTCCACCCTGGGTCCACTCCAGTCTGGGCCCTGATACAGCCCTTCTATAAATGTTGGACCCCCGGCCCAAGAGAGGGCTGCTGCTCACTCTCAAGACAGCCTGCATGCTCCCTTGAATGAGTATCTACCTTGCTAAATAAACCTGGTCTATGCCTTTGTCTGGCTTGTGCTGAAATTTTTTTTCTGTTATATATGCCAAGAACCCCACTGTTCCTGAGTTGAGATCCCCTCTTTACTGGGAACTCCTCGGACTCTTCTCCGGAGACATCTGTTCTTCTGTGACATCGCCACTCTTTTTTTTTTTTTTTTTTTTTTTTTGAGACAGGGTCTCACTAAGTTTCCCAGGCTGGTCTCCAACTTGCAATCCTCCTGCCTTAACCTTCCAAGT